TACATAGTTGTTTTGAGGTTTGATAAGCAAAAATGTATCATCCGACCACCGGATAAATCGATCGATCACGTGACTACCTGTAATAAACAAACAATGCGTTGTTTTGAAAATGTAATCCATAAAATATTATTATTTTAATTAATTTAAGAAATATACCAAGTGGCGAAGGGCTCCGAGCCAAAGTTGTCATCACACCTGTAATCAAAAAGTCCAAGAGTTAATTTGGTACAGGAAATGAGTTTGGTTTTAAAGATTTATCCACGCGAATAAATAAAAACAGCCAGGTAAAGCAATATGAAGTATTGTCAAGATGAATAAAAGGAATTAATTATAATTTTAGTGGTTCGACATTGAAGATGGTCGAACTATGATAGTTTTGGGAACGTTATTTAGTGAGACGAGCCCAAACATTGGGTAAAGCGCCGGATTGGTTCGGCGAACCGGCCAATCCAGAAAGCAAGAAGCGAGCGTTAAAAGTTATGTGCGCAGCAAACGCAGAGAAGGGGAAAAGCGACCGACGGTATAAATATCGTTGCCCGGATGGCAACGAGGTCTTTTGTTCTGGTTCCGTTGGCGAGTAAACTCCGCGTAATAAAAGTTCCGCAAACCCTGGCGAAAATTTATTTCAGAATTTTTCATATAATTTTTCAGAATTTTTCAGAATTTCAATATAAATTTTATAACTTTTTTAGAAAATTTTTCAGATTTTTTACACGAATTGGAACATTTCTCAGAATTTTTTCAGAATTTTTTATATAATATTTTAGAATTTCTATATAAATGTATAACTTTTATAGGAAATTTCTAAGATTTTTTCATTCAAATTTGAACCTTTTTTAGATATATTAACACATACATAGATACACTGAGAAAAAAGATTTTAACAAAAATTTTTTTTTTAATTTACGATTACATATTATTATTTTTAGAGTTTAATTTGTGTTTAACTATTTCGCATTATTTCTATTTTATTAATTACAATTTATACGCAGGTTTACAATTTTTGAAAACACATCGAGATTCGAACCTGAGATCCCTAGAATATCAAACTTATACGCTAACGCTGAGCTAATGATACTTCGATACGAAGGATTTATTCTTTCCAGTATATATATGTTATATATTATATATTTTTATTATTTAGTATATGTTATTGTTATGCTACAATTCGGATATTTAATTTGCTAATATATAACATTTTATAGATTATTATGTCTTTAAA